ATGCCTTTCTTGATCACGGCGGCAACGATTTTCTCGCAGCGCGCCCCGCGGGGGGTTGGGGTCCCTTTAGCCCCCCTCCAGCCCCCTTAAGCCCTTCTTAAGCCTCCTTTTAACCTCTTCTAAGCCTCTTGAAGCCCCCCTTCCAGGGCTTCAAGAGCTTCCTCCCTCAGCACGCCCCTCCCCCCTCCCCCCTCCCTTCGCCCACCCCTTCAAGCCCTTCAAGCCCTGGAAGCCCTCCCTTTTGGAGGGTAGAACGTTGCTAGAGCCCGAATAGAGCCCGAAATAATGCCCGAAATAGTGCGATCCACCTCTCTATGGTGCCTAAATACATTTTTGCTAAAACAATACTAGAAACCCTGTACTCCTAAAAATTATTTACTTCGAGCATCCCCGCCCTAAAAACGTTATTGCGCAAAAAGTGTAACGTTCCCTGCCCCCCGTCAAATGTCTTCCTTGCAGCACTGCAAATGCGCTGCAAGAATATTGATATTCTGCTGTTGGGCATTCCAGGGATCTGCGGTTGGGCACTGCAGGGATACTTTTCGGTTGGGCCCTGCTATCGACACTTCTTTCTATGTGCATCCATAATGGTCGAACGTTGGAGGCAATGCAATAAAAACTGAAAGACCGCACGGCAGCCAAGAAGATACTCAAGTTACCTTACTCCCCGGTACCGCCAGGCCGAAGTCAGTATAGGAACTACTTGATTTAAGAAGAGTGGAAGAGATTTCCAATATGCGACTCCATGGCCTGACACATTCTACGGAACGTTGCCCCAACAATTAGTCGCTATCAACAAGTCCGCTCCGCTCTTGGATGTCATGTGTTGTGGCTAACACATAATAGAAGTCTGCTCCACTCAGTCAGACCCATGCGCTTGGCCAACCTGCGGAAGTGGCCAAACATAGCAGTCAATTTTTTTGTCCGCGCAGGCGCTACTCTTCTTTCCAAAGAAAGTTGCCAGTAAGATGTGGAAACAAGATACTAATAAGAGGGTTACATAAATGATCCACTTCCGTCCTGACCGGTGATAAAGCTGGAGTGAAGAATCCCAGACCGAAAGTACACTGTAGAGTGGTTTGTGAGGCACGTGATATTGCGGAAGGCATCAGCGCAACTCATACAGGTGGCTGATGACAAAGATCCCACAAGCCGGGGGTAGGAGGTGGCTTGTCCCGTGACTCAATAGAGCTGAAGAAATTGGTGAGTGAGTGAGACTTCCGTACCGTACCTCGGTGTGGGGTAAGAAAACCCAACTTACGATTGCATGCAGTGGCCGATGTACAAGTTCGCTGGCTGGTACTGCAGGCGTTGTCACAAAGGCAGGCTACCATCAGCATCAAAGAGCTCTAGGAGTAACGTGAGTACTGCGTTACTATGTGGCGCAATGGATTCGCCCTCAACGAGGTTCCTAATCAGGTTGAAGGGTGGCAGCCCACCAGCTTGAGCAGCAGCGTGAGCCCAGGATTCAGTTGGGAGTCAGCGCCTTGGCTATGGCCATCAGCTAAGCTGACTTGGTGCGTTTTTCTCAAAATTTGGCGCGTCCGGCAACTCAAAGGGTGGATTAGGGGAACAGAAGCCATTTGCTGCACACTCCTCCTGTACCTCCCAGGTGCGTACTACAAGGGGTGCAGCGTCCGGCTTCTTAATGAGACCGCCCTCAAGTTCTCAACCTGATCAGGCCTAATTGGCTGCCGGTCTCTTGTGATCGCTTATCCAGACCTTAAAGGTGTGTTTGGGTATCATTGCAGACAGGCAGGTACTTGAGGCCGGTCCTGCTGCTGGCCTTCGTCTCTTACTACCAGTCTTGGACAGAAAGTTAGTGCGGAACATCTTGCTGTAAAGCATTTCAGCCTTGACGTATGTGCTACCGACAAAAGCGAATCGCGGAGTATGTCTCTTGCTTCATGGGGTTGCCTTCGATGTCCATGGCTAGAGTGGCCTTGGCGGATTCGTTCACTCCGGGTATTCTAACGAATTGCCGCTTGAAGCTAGGGACCGCTTCAGCTAGCCTTTCTTCGATGCTGATTATCATTGATCGCACCGGTTCATTCTGCAGGCTAGCGAACAGAACCTTACGCTTGCCAACTCCGCCACTGGGATACTAAACAAGGCCATAAACCTGGTTTTGCCGGTGCCAGGCATCCCCCCTATCAGCGTGCTGATGCTGTCTACCAAGTCGCCCAACATGATGTTGGCAGTGATGGATAGCATATGCCCATCTAAAAACCAATAATCCTTGACTAGCCCATACACAAATGCTGGTCCTAGACCATGTGCTAAGTGCAGGAGCTCTAATAGCTCAGAGGCGAAGGTACGTTTGGTTCCCAGTCCTTTGCCGGACAGTTAGCTGCCATGGCTTTTATTTCAGCTTCTGTGCACGTGGTTGGGCTTAGCCAACCTAGGTCTAATGAAGAGCTGGGCACCTGGTCAGATCCCGTGCCTAGGCAGTCCGCGACGCCATAGACATCACAATTTCCAAAATGCGTATCATTCAATTTGTTGGATCCTTGAAAGGACGCATGTTACAAGTACAATGTGGACTAGGTCATGGCCTGCACTTGGATCAGTGAAGCAACCCCTCAGTTCCCTGGACCAGCCGGGTCCCCGGAATTGAGAAAAGCATAGCTCTACAGCAGAAGAGGTACATAGTTGACAAACAGTAGCACGTAGTTGAGCCAAAGATTTTGATAGTAGTGCTCGAGTAGAGGGCACTCGGAGAGTGAGAGAGCGTTGGCATGCGCATGGGAGCCAGTGATACGCTGCTGTTTCACATTGTATGTGACATCTGGTGATCATATAAACATAATAGTCAAACAACGCCCAAGCCCGGGTCGTGTAGTTTTGAAGGCGCGGTGTTTATGATTTCATCAGTTTTGCATGTCCCAATTTCACGAAACGTCGTTACGTTTTTTAGTTTGCCATGCTCCCATGTGAACATGTCAATTCCAGCATGTGTAATTATTCCGTAGGCGCTCTACTGGTCAAAAAGATTTTCCTATGCGGATTCTTACTCGCAACCCAGACTCCTTGAGAACCGTGTTCGACTATGCGGAACACAAGCAGGTTTTTTGTGATATTTTTTCCAATTTATAGTTGCACATGCTATTTTCTCTGTTTTGGAAATATTTTGGAATCAGTATTTTCTGGTAGCTTTCAGATTGAGTGAGGAATATGAGACATGTCAAGTGAAGCCCGTGCATGTCAGTCATGTCAATTGCCATGTGTACATGTGAAGCTGCGCTTGTTGGACAAGTCCTCCGTAACAGTTCACCATTCCCAGAGACTGCCACTGTTGTGCGTGATCAGCCCCTGAACCTTTTTTTTGACGGCCGGCAGTTGTTAAATCTCTGACAAGGGGAAATCAATAGAGTTCCAGTCGGCTTGGTCTCCGTTGACTGGTGCCGAGAGGGTGTTCATTTCATTTTGGTTTTCCCACTTCGGGTTAGCCGCATCTCAGAACAAAAAAGAGTACGTCCCGTCGGTTGCGCGTCCATTTTGAATTTCAATCATTGCTTTTCTTGAAAGAGGATTTCTTACCATGTTATGTTCAACGATTCAATTGATGCCCATGTTTTTGAGGGTGAAAAGGGCAAATTCAGCAAACATAAGCAATTCATGAATGTGTTCTTTTCGCTTTGTGCCCGTTTCGCACAAGCGCAAGAGACACTTTTGTAACCGTTCTTTCACAAATCGAATGGTTTTCAGTTTGCTTATATGTACTCTTTTTGAATCTTGAGTGCAGGACTGCATCAGTGGAAGGCCCACGCCGCTGTATTTGCAGAACCCACCCTCCCGCCCAAAGATGTGTAGAGCACCAGCCGGCCTGGACACTCTTGACTTGTGCCGAATTAGGGTTCGTTTGAATTCTGCCCACCTTGGTTGTAACGCATCTCGGAACGAACAAACGCATTTCTGTCGTTTGCGAGTTTTGTGCGCGTTTCCGTCATGTCCTTGTTTTTGAGCAATGTTTGTTATCATATTTGTTATCATATGTCATGTCAGAATTCGAGTTATACGCGGATTTGTCTTGCGTGAGAAATGCATGTTCAGCGATAACAGCAAGTCCTGAGCGGGTCATGTGTTCATTCGGTCATGTTTTGCATGTGGATCACAGTCCATGTTGTTGCTGTTCTTTGCTCCAGCTTCGCATGCCTAGAGCAGCAACCTTTGCGTTTCACCTTCAATGCTTGATAGAGCACTGCTTGTGATTTTCTGTTTGCATCGCTTGTATCTCTTACTTAAACCTTGCACGTTTGCTTTTGAGGTGCGTTTGGGGTCGGACATGTAGCCTCGGGACTTAGGTACCGCTTGGCAAGTTCCAAAACAGTGAAATTTGGCTGCCGGCCAGTACTTCCGCATAGCCGCTTAGTCTTGTTCTAATTCGTCTGTTGTACTAAATACCGATCGTAATGCAGTACTGGCCTCTTCAGAAATTGTTGTCGCTGTGCTTTGGCGTTGTTAAGGGCACTGCCATGAGCTCCAACGTGCAGGGAGCATACCAACCCCAAATGGGGATGCCAGCAGCTCTGTCTAAGGCACCATGGGATAGTTGCATTTCATCACGGGCAGCTCTGCTAGGGCAGCTCTGCTAGGTGAGGAAAGGCCTTCCCAGTCACCGAAATTGCTTTGTCAACCCGCAATTTCGGGCATATGCACAACGCCACGCGAGAGCGCCTGACAATCTCGCAGCTGTGGGTTGATTCTTTTTCTTCCGATCCGCCTGCCAGGATGACTATGACCTCTCGAGCGCGAGGTGGGAACTTTCATTTGTCACATTCCGCTTTTGCAGACGGCAGTTGAGATTCGTACGCCAGGGATTTGCGGGACTTCATTGTGGAGGCCAACATCCGGCTTGTGCGCGTGGAGTGCTCCCCCTGATTGGCGTGTCTTGCATGCGCATGCCATTTGCTGTAGGCAAATCCCGTGGAGGTACTTGTGGAAGTTGCACAAGGAGGAAAAACGAATTCTAAGACGCCAGGAGTGTGAGGAGGAGATCTGTGAAGATGGCCGGTCCGCACTGGTCACTCTCCAGGAGATGACAGGCTGGAACAGCGAACAGGATGCTCATATCATGAGTGTTTCCCATTGCTGGGAAACTCGTGAGCATCCCGATCCCTGTGGTCACCAGCTAGCACAAGTTGCCAACTACACTGCGCTGCACTATGCAGCTCATGGTGTTCCCATCTGGCTTTTCGTGGATTACATGAGCCTGTTTCAGTACAGACGGCATGCTGCAGAGCATGAGGACAGCTTCCGAGCTGCCATGAATAACATGCATGTGTTTTATTCGCATGATAATGCGTACACATTGCGCGTGGAGGGCCTGACGCCGCAGAGTTTGTGGGACAAGTGCTGGGAGAGCAGGGTGTCTGTCTACGATGAGGCCAGCAAATCCATGGCATCAGTTTCGGTGAAAGATCTCACTCACAATTCCACGCCTTATCACGAGCGAGGCTGGTGCAGAGCTGAGCTTGAATGGTCCAGTTGCCGGAGTCAGAGCGCCCGAAACCGCCGCATTGATGTAGAGAGCAGCTCCGATCCAACTGGAAAGGATCCGCCCAAAGAGGGTATTGAACGATTGGGGGAAACACATCTTTGCCGCAAAAAGGGGAGAGCTCCAAAGACCCCAAAGGCCTTCAAGGCCCAGGTGGAAGACCTGAAATTTACCCATCGCAGTGACCTGGAGCCGGTGCTCCTCCTGCAGGACTAGAGCTGCCGCAAGAATGGTAATAGTAGTAGTGGGTAGTAATACTGATACTAGTAGTAGTAGTAGTAGTAGTAGTGCTACTGCTACTACTACTACTACTACTACTACTTTTATGGGGTTTAGGGTTTAGAGCAAGGATGAGGTGTAAAGGTAGTATAGGAGTACCAATTGTGAGAATGATAGATATGATTTTTTGGAGTGCCAGGAGAAGATCTACCAGCAGAAGGTGTCCCACTGTGAGGCGGCCACGTTTGAGCACCTTTCGGGGGCCGAAGTGTTACTTGGATGGAATGAGGGGGCATCTTAGGCTTTAGCACACAACAAAATTTCGCTCAGACGCGCAAGGAGCTAAATCCTATATTCCTCTATAGACCCTAGATAACTCCAATTAAGCCCTAAACCCTATATCCCTATATAGACCCTATGTAGAGTCGTATGGCAGTGCGCCCCCTCGTCAAAAAATAAATTCGAAACTAGAAAGCCAGCTATGAAAAAACCTGTGCTAGCAAACTGCGGCGACGTTGATCCTGCAAGCGCCATCTACCATACTGTAGCCACTCAAAAGCAGAACGTCTTGGAAGGATCTCTTCTATTTGGACACATTTTGGGGTTCTCCCGGCTGTTGTTGATTCTTCAAGTAATACATAATAGAAGATCATATATATATATATATTATTTGGATCTTTTCCTCTGAGCTGCTTCCCTCCTTGCTTGCCGGCTTGGCATTTAGCGCTGCGACTCCGGCTTTGAAGGTTTCAGCTGTAATTTGTTGGAGGACTCTTAGCCAAGGTGCTACCCCCGAAGCAGTTTTCCGATCCCTGTGCTGCTTTTTTTCTCTACTGGCAAGTGGGAGCCAGACGTTTCACCATGCTCCTTCTACTTAGTGATTCCACTTGGAATTTCCGACTTGAGTTTGGCTGGTGCTCTTTGGGTGGCATGTTGAGGGCAGATATAATTGCGAAGGCTGCCTGGTCTACTTAGTCTACTCACCGCGAGGTCTGCGTCGAGTTCGCTTGCTCTGCATGCTCTGTCCGCCCTCTTTCCACTCAGAGGTCACCGGTGGACGGTTGAGATTACATATGTTGCAAACTCTAATCTTTGAACGTTGCATGTACTGTCCCGCACATTATGCGTAGTGAAGGTCCCTCTCTCTTGACGTCGTCGAGCTCTTGCGCCGGTGATTTCATGTCAAGAAATCCAAACTCCAGCGAAGTCACGCTGCAGTCACAAGAACAATTGCACATCTTTCTTCACATTTTCTGCGTCCTCTCTGGAAGCATCAAGACTGCAGGCATCCGAACTAGTGTATATACGTGCGCAACGGAGTATGCATGTTTTTTGTTGTGGATGAGAGGCCGTTATGTTATGTCAGGATGGTTATTTCTATGGAAATTGGAGGGTGAATGCAAGAGTTGCAATCGTTGCTACAAACACCTGACCCTCGCCCGTCTCCGTCTCATGCTGTGCACTTCCACTGGGTGGCAAAGATGTCCGTGGGCGATTTCCTGCAGGATGGGATGCAGATTCAACAGGGGCAAGACGAAGACGCAACAGCCACCAATCCATTACATGTAGCCCCTAAACCCTAAACCCTAAACCCAACCATGGCGGACATGCCTTTAGTGATTGTTCCATGCCTATCCTGCTTGGATCAACAACAGGAATATGCCGGTGAGTTTCAAATCAATTCGGCTTCAGTCCTGGGACTTGAACAGTAGGTGTTGGGAATATATAGGGATAATGGAAAAGAACATGGAAACTACTATAGTATATTGGGAATATTTAGGGATGATGGAAAAGAACATGGAAATTAATATTTAGGGTTTCAAGTAGGTATTGGTGCGCAACTCTTATCATCAGGCGCATGGGGCCCAGAATGTTGCAGACTGCTTGGAGCCAAGCAGTCGTCAAACGGCTGCTCCAGATTTCCACAGATTTCTCTAGGCCAGGCCCAATAGCCTTACTCAAGGGGGACTATAACCCTAAACCTTAAACCCTAAATAGTAGTTTCCATTTTCTTTTCCATTATCCCTATTTAACCCCAACATATACCCTATAATCCCTATCTAGCCCGTTATAGTAGTATCCATTTTCTTTTCCATTATCCCTACATAACCCCAGTACAACCCCAATATAACCCTAGTGTAACCCTAATATAACCCCAATACAACCCTACTATAACCCTAACAGAACCCCAATATAACCCCAATATAACCTCCATATTTTACCCACCCCAAGGTTGGCTTTGGCGGCGGCGCTGCCAGACTTCAGCATGCTCAGTGCTCTGGGAATTCGGCAGGTCACCTGCAGCTGGGTTGCTGTTAAGGAACTTAAATTAAGTTGCCATAATGGGTATATATAGTAAATAATAGGGTGTCCCCAATAGAGTAACCCTAAACCCCAAACCCTAAACCTAAACCCTAAGCCCGAAACCCTAAAGTTCCTTGACAAGCAAGCCAGGCAGCGCAGAGGATATGACCACCCTCATAGAGGCACGCAGTGAGCAAAGCCAACCTTGGGGTGGGTAGAATATCGAGGTTACATTGGGGTGATATTAGGGCTATATTAGGGTTATATTAGGGTTCTATTGGGGTTATATTGGGGTTATATTAGGGTTATTTTAGGGTTATATTGGGGTTATATTGGGGCTATATAGGGATAAATGGACAAGAAAACGGAAACTACCATAATGGGTTAAAAAGGGATGATAGGGTATATATTGGAGTCAGCCGCTTCTTTTTTCACAGACTTGGCCTTGTGCCCTTGGGCCTTTAGTCACTTCAGTCAGGGGTGTTTAGAATTTTTTAGGGTTTGGGGTTTAGGATTCAGGGTCTAGTGTTGAGGGAACATGCGAATTGCACATATTACTGGAGTCCATCAGCAGCACCATAAGGGTTCGGCCCAGACGCTCCATGCCTGGAATCAAGGAATAAATCCTCATGGTAGTCCCAAAGAATATGGCTTTGGGTATATTAAAACAAGATCCCCACATATACCCCATATTCTATCTACTTCAGGGGGACTACAAATCC